AGGCTGCCAGCCCTGGCTGGGTGAGGGCTCTGTCCAACCAGCCCCGTGAGCCTTCGAGGGCTGCTCAGCCCCGTGCTGAAACAAACCCGTTTGCCGTGTGCTTTGATGATAATACTCCTCTCTTAATAACCAGGGCAAAGTGCTTAGAGCCATAATTAATCCTCACAAGGCCTCTTCTCCTGCAGATCCGGTGAGATTAGACCCCTCTGCCGACGGCAGCCTTTGAAGTGCCGTGGGAGCTGGCATTTCAAAGGGACGGATCCAGCCCGGCGCACGGGAGCTGGACCCGTGGCCAGCCCTGCCAGGGATGCTGCGTGCTGGGAGGATGAGACAAAGCTGAGCTCGCACCGGTGTGAGCACCCAGCTTTGCCCTGGAGCTGTGGAAAAGGCTGGAAAATGAACTTCCAGCTCCCTTTCTCGGTGAGGGGCTGTGGGCACTGTGGTGGTGCCCGTGGCTGGAGCAGCAGCACGGGGAGGGCTGGCATGAGCTCCCACAGCCCTGTGTGACCCCAGAGCGGTCTCCTGGCAGCTTGGTGACCTCATGAGAGTCACAGGGGAGTTATCCATGGCACAGGGAGCTGGGCAGCAGAGGGGAGTGGCTGTCCTGTGAGGTGTCCAGCGGGACAGAGATGACCTTGTCCGTAATTCCGCCGTGGATACTCACTGCCAGCAGGGCCGGGCTGATGGCGACCCAGCACAGCTTCCAGAAGAACCCCGGGGTGAAGCCCAGCATGGCTTTGACATCGTGGGAGAACCTCTGGATCCCTGCCAGAGGAGAGAGCCCTCAGAGCCCAGGGATCCCACTGGGGACGTGGGTTCAGGGATATCCACACGGACACAACGCCCTCTGCTCCCATCCCAGCCTGGCCAGGAGCCCCACACGGGATCCAGCGCTCGGGATTTACTCACCTGTGCAGGGTCACACACCCGTGCAGGTGCCCACGGGGTGTTTTCCATGACAGAGGCAGTTTCTTACCATAAAACCAGGAGACAGCGATGGTTTCCAGGAGCACCACTGCCAGGATGGAGCAGCCAGCACCAAACTCCTCCAGCAGCTTCACCACGTAGGCTCCCCCCTGGAGCAGCACGAGGAGGGGGAGGCTGCAGACCCCACGGGGGTGAAGGAGGGGATGTGGGGGTCCAGGGCAGGGTGGTACCAGTGGAACTCACGTAGGTGAGGGTGCTGAGGGAGCCCAGGGAAACAGACGGTGATGAGGCCAAGGACGAAGAGCTCCCGTCGCCCTGCCAGGACCTGGGGGTACTCGTCCATCACGGCCGTGATCACGGCCTCCAAGCCTCCAAACTGCAAAGGAAATGCTGGCATGGGGTGGGGATGCTGGCATGGGATGTGGGGACAGTCCTGCTCTCCAAGAAAATCCACATGGCAGAGTGGGGATGTCCCATCCCTTCTTTCCATCCCATCCCAGCCCTTCCCAAGGCTGTAACTCCCCTCACCCACTGTCACCTCACTATCCCGGTCCCTGCTGGGGACACAGCTGGGCTGTCCCGCTCCTACCGTGCTGTCCAGCCCCAGGGTGATCATCATCAGGAAGAAAATGATGGCAAAGAAGGTGGATCCCACCATGTTGGCGATCGCTTCAGGGTAGGTGATGAAGAGGAGGCTGGGCCCTAGGAGGGGACACTGGCTTGGTTGGCTGTTCCCTGGCATAGCCCTGAGGGTGGGGATTTGGGGAAGAGGCTGCTGGAGGGAGGAGAACCTTTATCT